AGATAAGGAAGAGCAAAACACGTGGCTGAGGAGAGAAATATCAGCCTTGATCCTTATCCTAATTTCCTTTCTTTTTAGCCCCTGAACTTTGAAAACTTTTGCTATTACATTCATTAATGATATTTCTTCACAATTAAGTCCCCAATTTACTTTAATGCTATAAAAATTTTGGGGTATTACATAAACTTTTTGCATAGGGAACGAATCTCCTCTAAGTACATATTGTTTTTAAACTTTTGAATAAGGTAGCATCTTTTAATATTAGAAGTTATTTTTGTATTCAATATTTTTTGTTTTATATTTTTTAGTTAAATTTAATTGTTTTAATTTGATTTTACGTAAAATTTAATTAAATAATTTTATATAATAATTAAATGTTTTTTCTTTTTTTTCGTGGCCTTTGTTAAATATTTTCACTTAATAAAAATTATCATTTAACATTTACTGTATTATATAAAATTGTTGAGTCAAACTTTATCTAAAAATTAAATTAAGATAATTGAATTTGACTTTATAAAATAGTCTAATACAATTTAGATTAAAAAACATGTAATTATCATTTCATTAACGTTTTAAACACGCAGTTGTCACTCAAAAAAACTCAAAAAAAAAGGGTAAAAATGCACGTTCAGACCTCGTAAATAAGACGCAATTCTATTCCCTAATAATGGCTACAAAGAAGAACTCGACAATGACTTTGAGAAAAAGGGCAAGGTAGAAGAGATTCAAGAGAATCACCACACTACCTAGTAGTACCTAGGACCACAAGGTACGGCCTCTTCTTTTTCTTACTTTCTACTACCTAACGTTGAATACCATTTCAGTCCACCCAATAAAAATAAATAAATAAGACAAAATAACTCATTAAGCCATAGGTTCCTTACATATCACAAATTCGAGTGGAGAAGAAGATACCTCAATCCAACACCAAACCAGGGGCTTAGCCTGTTGTGCCCCCCTCCAACTAGTCTTCATTGAGGGTTTTAGTCCAGAAACATACAATATCTATTATTTAGCCCGTAAACTACACGTCACTTGAACAATTGGCCCAAAATTGACGACCGTTGCCAGCCAGTCACATTCATCCCTAACCCATTTAACCTGTACCAACTAAACGTCATGTCATTCCCACGTTGGAGGAAAAATTGTCCAAACTAGACCAATAGATGTGCAATATAATTGATTATAATGGATTGGGTAAGTAATTATATACTCAACTTTTCTAAGAAATTCTTTTTTCTTAAATTTTTGTGGATGAAAAGTGAGATAATTGATGGTGATTTAGAAATAAGCGGTTATATTTTTATAATTAATCATATACTTTTTATAATCAATTATATGCCCAATGTAATTACTTACATTTTTATTATAATCAAGTACACTATACCTTGATTTTCATGCCAAGAAATTTAATACACTAGGCCAAGTCAAGTCGATTTTTGGTTGGCTTCTTCCCCCAAATTCCTTTTTCCAAGAGAAGCTTGAACCAGCAAAGTCCTCCAATGCAACAAGTTGAAGGGCACCAAGTTTAGTTTTCTCATCCCTATCGTGCAATTTGGACCATTTTTATTCTAATGTGACAATGACATGATGTTGAGTAAGCGTTGGTTAACAAATTAATACCGCAGTAACCGGACATGATTCGCTACCATCAATTTTGGGGTCAATAGTTCAAGTGACAAATAGTTCATGAGCTAAATGACAGACATAGCATGTTGGGGGGCTAAAACCCTCAATGATGACAAGTTGGAGGGGGGGGGGGGGACAGGGGTTTAAGCCAACCAAAATTTACCATTAGCTCAAGTTAAAACTTGCAGATCTTCTACTTCCCAGGAAAACAGCTGGTAGCAAGAGTCAAACCTAAGCGTGATCGAAATTTCGATACTTACCAACTGAACTAAACCTTGTGACTAGGACCAACGAAAGATTATAAATCCGTAAACCAGCATCTATATCTACTCTTTTTGGAGGATCTGCACTGCCCTCTTATACTTTTTGCCTAACCTGAAACCACAACTTGTCATTATCAAAAACTTTGGTTGATTCCATGACGATTTCAGGGTCTAAAAATTCAAACCCCAAACCAATGATCCAATCTTCCAATAAAGTTTATTTGATATGCTTTGGCCAAATAATTGAGATACAGCGTTGGTTAGGTGGTGGTAAAAACATGAAGGACATTGTCTTGTTCTCAAAACACTTCATACAAATGGACATGGCCATCTCTGGAACGTATCAAAAAGCGGATTTTTATCAATATAAGTACCTTCGGCACTGGGCATATCTTGTTTTCAGAAGGGTAGAACAACTAGAAAGTAAGAACAGGGAAAAAAATGGCGATTGTAACCTTTGTGTTTTTTCCAGAATGTAAACCACATGGATTGAATGTGGTTAATGATGCTTATGAACATCACCTTTAGCGCGTTGAAATACAACATTGAATTGATGCTGAAGAATCATATGAGTTTTCAATCAGAAGAATGGGCATATGCAAGTTAACATGATGCTAGAGTTGGACTGGTATACGCAATCCATCGTAGCTCAGTTGCACATCAAGTCCCTCTGTATCCTTGAGTTTGGAAAGGTATTCATTCACCTTTTTATGATCTATCAGATGCATCATACCTCCACAAGTGTAAAAGTAGAATACAATAAGAACGTTGCTCCAATAATTATTTGTTGATGCAAATAGGTAGAGTGATAGATTGTGACATTATGAGATTGTTTGGCAGAGAATGAAGAACACTTTGGGAGAAGGAATTACGTGGAAGAAAAATGCATTGAAACTACAAAAGAAAAGACGTTAAAGAAGTTTTCTAAAGTATACCAAACCTAACCATACCAGTGAATAGTGTTTTTGTAGGCTTTATCTTCCGTACTTCCTCCAAAGCCTGAGAAGAAAACAAATTCAAAATCATTTTAATTGCTCAAGTTTGTTATAAGTGACAAGGATTATAATGTATCTATTGCATAAACCGCGCCTAGATGTAAATGTACCAAAAAGAAAAGGAGATGGGAAAAGACTAACCCTTGGAAGTCCAAAATGTGTTGCTGAAGATCTATCAGGTCTCAGAGCATCCTAAAGATATTATTTTCAAAATGGATCAAATAAAATTGGGAGTTAGAAACACAATACTGCATCTTAAAAACAGCATCAGAACAATATTTCATGTGCATGCATCCCTCAATACAGTGAGAGTACCATAATGAGGAGTTCACAGTCCTCCAACAGCAGATATGTTTCTTCAGGTATTTCACTGACATCACTGCAAATGTGAGGAGAGGATTACTATGCCATCTGACGGGAACCAAACCATGTAGAAGCAAAAAATACTTTTCACAATTTTTAGGAATGAATAAAGAATAACCTGATATAACAAATATCACCAAAACGAAAACCAAGGGAACAATAATCACGTCCATGCCACACTGGTAAAGGGGTAAACTGAAGCACAAATTTGACCATTAAACACAGATTAGCACATGTCATATGTGTTGAATCAATTTAACGGAAACAGAAACACAATTTATCATGAAAATTCTGCTGTATTATATCCAGGTAAAAAATAGACACAACAATTACAGTATCTTCAGTTCATGATTGATTTCAGATAAACAAGAAACAAATGACAGTTAACAATGAGGCCATTATGAGTTTCATATTAAATCCATTGGATGACAACAGTACCTGAAGTAATGTAATCCTTCCACCAACGTACCGTAGCAGTTTCCTTAGATAAGCAACAATAAACTAATACTAATTTTCTTTATCCAATTACTGAATGCTCAATTCCACAACTCTGACAAAATAGATACTTGTAAAAGAATAACTAATTGAGTCATAAACCTTTTGCTACACTATAGAATGCACAAGTAGAAGGAGAAAAGATCAAACTTGTTAGACAAGTAGAGGAATACTTTTGCTGAGCAAAAAAGAAAACCAGTAGAGGAATGCAGATATGGCATTAAAGGAATTCCAGTTCATACAGATATTATCTCATCACCTTGATTTCATGTACAATGAATGGCTCTTCACGTATGACATTAAATTGCAAGTCTGAGACTGCAGCACCAGGTGTAATCACTCTTGTGTCCACCAAATAATAATGGGTCTTCTTCATCACCTGAAATTGTTCCAACAAGTATCATATGGTTGATCACAAGAGCAGGTGTTATCAGAAATGATCCATGCAAATTGTTCAAGTGATTAAAAAGGCACCCACTGATCAGTTTGCATGAAGCATACAAGCTTTTTGAAATCCAGCAACCAGCAGTAATCAATGAATGTTTTCTACGATCCAAACAAGTGTGCACATTAAGAGGGATGACAAATTGAAAACAGAGACGGAAAAGGGAGTAATGAACTTTAATTGTACAGGCTAAGCCTTTCAAATCTAATACATTTCAAGCTTCAAATGTAGGTAAAGGAAATAACACCTAGGGTAAACCAAGTAATTGATTAAAAATTTATGCCATCTGCTTTTTCAAATTTTACACCACATGCATAAAATGAATACTAAGTGATAGTGAAAATGAGATGCTCCAAAGCATATATATGTATGCTTATCTGCATATGTGCTCATATAGATAACTTCTAAATTTTTATATTTGAAGCAATTGAAGCAGAACAGGGGCTCGGACCTCAAAATCATGCTCTGCAACATAGATTGGGATGTAGGGCTGCACATTGTTAGTCCAATCACGTAGATCATCTAGACCTGGGGCAGGAGTAAACATAAGAATACTTCATTCGTGGATCATGGGAACATCTACAATAGAAGAAGAGCAAGCAATAAAAACTTAATGCATTGCCAGGAATAGGTTGTGTATTTATAGAATAACAAAAGAAAGTGTTTGTAATCGAGACCTCCAATTGCATCAGCATGCGAATGAGTAATTATAACCGCATCAATTGTTCTTATCCTGACAGAAATGCAACTAGTTATAATGAGGAGAATTCATGAAAATAGACATATTGTAACACAATCTGCAAAAGTACCAATTAAGGGCCACTCTACTCTTACTTAGAGACATTGAAAGAACTGCATCAAAATAATGTTAGCATTTCCGGTTGAACCATTTAATGTTAAAAGTATTCCAAAGATGGCAGCATATATACAATCATTCACAGTGGTACATGACTACATGTTAATTCAATATTCTACTACAGGCTTTATCTTAATTCCTGATCTTAATTCTTAAGATGTTCATAATCACTGGAGCATTTTATAACATAGAGATACTATCACACACCAACTTGTCTTTAAAAGCTTAAGATGCAAGCACTCAACAACAAATTTTCAGCATAACAAATATAATTTGAAAAATAAGATATTAAGCAAGAAAGAATAATCGCTACCTAGTCATGGATGCCAAAATTAGAGGCAAGGAACTAGTTGACTTTGCAATTACTATAAAAGAAGTTATTTAAATAGAAAGACAAAAAAGTTTGTAAGGAAAGAATATAGAAGTTTGTTTCAATAGTTCCATTTCCATGTGATGTCCAATCTTTTTGAATGGGTGAAACTAAAAAGGGTGAAATAAAACTTTAAACTGCAAACAAGCAAGATAGAAAATGAATTTCCTTATATCCATAAAGTACAATGAAGACGAAATCTAAATTAACTGCTAAAGTTCACCTATTCTTGAAACAAGGATGTTGGATCCATTCCACCCTAACTGCAAAGGGTGGTCTAAGAGATGGAAAGGAGGACCATATAGACATTACACCATATGATAAAAAATAAAATAAGTAACCTGTTGTTCATATTCTACCATTAGAATAGTAAATAGTTCTCACGATTATATCATCCCTGTTCCAAAATATCTACCATGAGCACTACATCTACAACTTATCCAGCCACAGTCAAACTCTAAATTGATTAGATTAGATATACCAGATGGAAACTTTGATATCTTAATGGCTTGAACATAAATTCTTATAATTAAGAAAGAGAAATAGAGCAAACACTAACCCAAAGGCAGGAAACCATTGAAGAGCACTGTGGTAGAAAAACCTGAAAAGAAAAATAAGTTCAGAAATGACACCATACCAATATCTAGAATTAATGAAACCAGAAATATCTGAATTTTCTTATATGAAATGCAGACCAGATAAAAAATATTAGTCAGAAATGTATTCTTTCAGAGTCAATGCTGCTTCAAATCAGTTATCATCCATACATAACTTTAAAGTAGAATTCGACCAAATTTTGACAAGTGTAAGACAACCCCTAACTCCCTATTGATGTTGATGCAAGAACAAGATGTAAACATGTACAAAAAACTGAAGTATCTTTCACTTACTTTCCAGCATCTATCAGAATGTTACATCTTCCCAAAGGCCTAGGATAACTAATAAGGATGCTTGTATTCCGTCTCCTATTTTTATTACCCGGTTCCACAGCATTTGTGCATACCTGCGTGGATCAAGAAGCATTAAGTGTCTTCAACAATTCTGAAATTAAAAAAAAAAAGAAGTAATAAACTAGTTATAGCAGCTCTTTGGTAATACCGGGCACTTCTTTAAAGGATCTGTAAGGCAGCTGACACGAGGAATCCCTTCACTAGTTCCTGTCCCCACAAAAATAATCTCAGATTGTTCTCCAGCATGTCCACTTGCAGAATCTGTAATGCACCGCAAGGTCACCACCAATTACTAAGCTTAAGAACAGTTGTGCAAGCACTGTAAAATCCATTACTGAGTCCATCAAAAAATTGCTTGCACAAACATCCACAAAAATACTCCTTATTGGTAACAAGTACACTGAAAAATAGCAACTTATGATTATAACACTGCTTTGAATTACAGTGAACCAAATGAATACTATTACACACTAAGGAAATAAAACCCAAATAAAAAAGATATTCATAAAGCAACTGATACCGAACCACACATTGCAAATTCAATAATACAAAGACTAATCATGAATCATGAAACACCCAAATCAGATAAACATATTCCAATATACAGAAACAAGAAAAAATCAAGAAATGACTGATGCCCAGAAAAGATAACAATCCATTTTATCAAAATTGGGGGGAAAAGTGGGGGAAAAGTTACTGAAGTGCATACTAGACTGTGATCGAGCTTGAAGAAACGTGTTGAACGGAGAGAACCCATTTCTTGGAAGTGAAATTGAGGAACCGTGAATGCTTATCTGACGTCTGCAAGGTGCGACAAAGGCTACAAAAGGTGGGGATCGAACAGTTCCCAGAAAGGGGACCATTGACAAAGCCACCACCATCTTTACCCTTTTGGGTTATGTGTAGAAATCAAATGGTTCCTTTTAGTGCAGAAGACGACGGAGGAAAGGCACACAGAAGCTGACCACAATTTACGGAGTCAAACGGAGGTCAACCAACCAGCAACACCGTGCCTTTTTCCGGCGTAGATGTAACTGTATTTCCTTCCCAAGGAATCGTAAAATATTTCAGTTTCATCGGAGTCTGTGTCCTTGGGTTGTGACTTGTGAACAACAGGCCAGAAAATGGGCCTTGTTCAATGTTTCCCCAATTTGGGCTTACATTTAAGCCCAATTTGATATCTACGGCGGAATTTAGGCTTACATTGAACCCAAAATACAACGTGAGTTGTAAAATCATTAATAATGTTTTTTATTTTTTGATTTTGAGTTGCATAAAATAAAGAGATAACCATTTTTTATTTTTTTATTTTTTTATTTTTCTTACTTGTATGTTATGTTATTAGACCTTAGAACTTAGAATTTGTTTGACAAGGCAAGAAAGTTACTTGCTTAAATTTTTCTCTTAGGAATTTGAAAATTTGTTGAAGTAAAATTTAAAATTTAACTTTTAGAGTGGCTTTTAATGAAATTTTGAAAAAAATTATATATTGAAATTTTTTTAAAAACTTATTTAACAGTTACTTTAAAAACCAATTTTTTTAAAAAAATTTCTTCAATAAAATTTTAAATTTATAAGAGAAAAATTTACTTTTAAAATAAATGTTTTTAAAATTTTGCTAAACATTTTTTTGTACTAAACGAAGAAGATTATTGAACCACTTGGTTCAAGTGAGAGATTTTGGATGCCTTAGAGTAACTTACCTTTATACTTTTAATAAGAATATATGAAGATAAGTATAAGAAATTTGTCATTTTTTCTAATTAAGGGCGTAAATTAAAAAAATTTTTGAATTAGGTGATAAATTTTTATTTCCTACTAAATAAGGGTACTTATTTTACATTTTTTATTTTTTTAAAGATTTACTGGATGATACAGATGATGTGTTAAATAGCAATCATATTTAGAATAAGCTTAAGGTGATTGTATCCTTAAATTAAAAAAAGAAAAAAAGAAAAAAGGCAAGGCTTATAAATTTTATGTTGAAAGCTTCCTTAATTTTTAGGTTGAAATATGCATTTAGTTTTTCATCTTAATAAATTTGATGTTTTTAGTCCCTCATTTTACATTATAAAGTTTTTAATCTCTAAATTTAAATGTTTGAAGATTTAGTTCAGGCGTTTGAAGATTTAATCCTTAAACCAACAGAATTCGTTAACTCTCTGTTAAAATGAGAACAAAATATTTACAAAATCAATTTTTAAAGATTAAATGTGTAATAATTTAGTTTTAAAAGTTTAAAAATTAAAAAAAGATAAAAATCATTAGTAGATAACTTTGCCACATATACGAAAACGGTACTAGATATCTGTAATCCAATCGAGTGATTAGTTCAATACAAAGAAAGAAAGTTCAATACAAAGAAAGAACTCTAACTGAGATTAAAGAAAATTTATTTATTATATTCTTCTAAACTTTTAGATTTTCTATCTTAATTTAGTTAAAAAATTTTCTTTAATCACAGTCAGAATTCTTTTTTCAAATTGAGTTAATCACATAATTTGATTAAAAATATCTAATACTATTCTAGTATAGATAAGAAAGCCATCTATAAATTCTTTTTAGTTTTTAAACTTTTTAAACTAAATTGTTACATTTTTAATTTTTGAGAATTAATCATGTAAATATTTTATTTTCACTTTAACAATGGTAAACAAATTCCATTAATTTAGGGAGTAAAAACTTTATAATATAAGATAAAAAATTAAAAATTTTTAAATTTAATAAAATAAAAAACTAAACACATAATTTAAAAATTAGCGGTCGCTCCCACCGGCACAGACCCCTTTTTTCCCTCTATTGCTGTTGAGCAGATTTTATGCTTTTTTTTTTTTTTTTGGCAGTTTCCCACAACTCATTTTTTCCGTCCAACCAAAAAAATTGACTTTTTTTTCCTTTAATAAATCATAGTTCCATATATAGTCAAAGAGCTGACATAGGATATCAAGAAAATTTGTTAAGCACAGCCAGCCCCTATGCTTTTAATTTTCAAATTATATTTCCTTATGAAAGTTGAAAAACCGGATTCGATTCTTCAGACTTCAAACCATCAATTTTTGTCTTTTCATTCATTTTTTCTAATTAATCCTCCCGCCTATTG